TCACGGCGCGATCCTCATCGTTAACAAGCGCTTCCATGTCGACGTACTTCACCTTCCGCTCTTTGTCCTTCTTCGATCTTCTAGGACACGAAGAAATGAACTTCACGTTATCGGCGAATGTCACATTACGCTTGATCCCTTTTCGGGTCGACGTAGTCGGTCCCGAGGATTCGTCGTCTGTTGAACAATCCGAATCAGCGTCGCTGTCAACGGATGGGCAATCTGACTCCTCCTCATCCTGTCTTGAAGATCGCTTCCATATCGCCGGAGCTGATGGATTCCACCTTCGGCACAATCTGATGGCGGGTGCCGCAGGGAGCGCCTTGGCCTTGGCATTCGGCTTCGCTGGAGCTGCCTTCGCTTCGGATTTGGCTTTAGCCTTTGCCTTTGGTTCCGGAGCTGGGGTAGCTGCTGCCTCATGCTTGAAAGGACAATTCTCTCTTGAGCACGAGCCTGTGTTCTTGAACGAGTAGCATATCCTGTTTCCTCCTCCTCCAGATGGACTTGGAGTTCTCGTCCTCGGCGTAAAGGGTCGCTCTGGAGTCTTCTTCGAGTGACTGAATGGGCACTTGTCACCATTTCGACACCCTGCATCTGTGAAATGGAACTTGCAGCGGATTTGCTTCTTGCTCTTGTCACCTCTGTTGTCCGCTGACTCACTCCTCGTCTTCTTCTTGGGTTTTGGCTTGGTTTTCGCATGACTCTTCGCTTTGCTTTGAGGTAGTACAGGTGTTGCTTTATCCGGCTTGGTCGGCGAAGCCTTGACCTTTGCGGATGGAGCTGCGTTAGGCGTTGGTTTCTCAGGTACCTTGGCCGGTGCAGCAAGCAAATCCTTGCCCTCAAGCATCTGGCGCAAGCCAATTTGGGTCTGAGTGAGATTTGATTGTTCTCGTCTCCGCATGATGGTACGGTCAATGATCTTCATCAAATTGTCGTACGATCGGTCTTCATGATTGTAGGGCAAGTGTTCGTAGTGCATGCCCAACTCCATCTTCATTGCGGGCGAGTCCTTGATCTTGCTGTACAAGCAATCACGGAGAGCTGTTTTGGATGGTATATCTTCTGGCCTCATCCGTCCCAGAACTTCCAACCACGTCTGCTTGAACGTATGAAGCTTGTTGTCGCCTTGGTACTGGAGCTTCACCAGATACTCGAGAGTGATGATCATGTCGAGACGATCATGTGTTCGAAAGCTTTCATACATCATCGCAATGATTTGTCGTCCTTTGATGATCTTCCCTTCGGGCCTGCTGATGTAATCGTTGGCCTTCCGGTTCACCTCCAAGTACAGGTCAGCAGATTTGTCACCACCAGCACGTAGCATTGCGACCATTGCGATCCCCAATTTGACGTCTACGCTCTTAAACTTCTTGTGTCCTGAATCGTTCAGTGCTTCGACATCAGGGAATGGGTTGAATGCTGGTGCCAGCCATAACATCCAGTCCTCATGATTTGGATCGGCTGATGCTCCTAAGACATTCGCCGTGCAAACTGATCGCCAGTTGTTGAGGTGAGTGAGAGTAGGCCATGGAGGTACGGTCACTTTGTCGGCCTCCCTCCTGGAAATTCTCACTTCCGTGACTTCAGGATCTGCGTCTCCATCAGGATCACGCGCATGAGATCCAGGATCCGATTCAGGTTTGCCTCCACCGCTTTTCTTCTTATCATCATCATCATCAGGCGGGTCAGGAGGGTCATACCCCGTGCCGGTTCCTTCATCGTGCTCTCCATCTTCGTTCTCGTCGCCAGCCTCGTCACCGTCATCGTCTCCATTATCCTCCTGAATCGTTTCAGCGAATAATCTCCACTCATCACGATCAGCTCTGAGACGTTGTTCGGCTTTCTGGGCCTTGAGTACTTCGCTTCGCAGATCGGCAATCTTCTCCTCGTACCGTTCCGCGACCTCTTTCTCGATCTGACGTCTCCTTGCTTCATGAATGGAATCGTCATAGGCAATAGGGGGACCGATGAGGTCGTTGCCCTTCGTAGATGCGGTGATACCGTCGACACCAACAGGTCTTGAGGAGCTGGCAGATGCTGTGGACTTCGATCCCAACATCCCGCGATCCTCCAAGAGTTCGCGTAGCTGTCGATCACGCACGGCTGCCGCATCACTTTTCCCATGAAATCCGCTTGGTATGCCGAACAAAGTGGCTGCACTAGGCGTGGAACGCGCAAGTGCTGGGCTGCTAATACCTGGCACGTAGTGCTCGGGCATTGCATCCGCCACGATTGGCATTGAACTGCGGCCAGTGAAGAAGTTTCCACCGGTGAATGGAATTCCATCCATCACAAGGTTCTTGTCCTTGTCCGATTCCGAGAATGCGAACTTCTCTTTGGCGACTGGACTAACTTGACTTGGGGACCGTATTTCAGGGGATCGTACCTCACCTCCTACGGAAGATGCAGGCACTACTTCCTTTCCTACGTGCTCCCAGCCAGACTCAGTAGTCCTCGAAGACATGGGCATGCTTGAAGGCCGTGTCGCTCCTCCGTAATTGGAGTTTCGCGCTGCCTCCAATTCGCTGCGTGTCCTCGCTTGAAGATCTTCTTGTGCTTTGAGCGTTTTCCTGAGTTCACTCAGCTCGTCGTGCAAGGTAGGCAATGATCGCCTTGCATGATCTTCATTCTGATGAAGTCGGTCCTCTGCTTCTTGCATCCTCTTCACAGCCATTTTGCGGTACTCTTCCTCTTCACCAAGACGTTCGCGAAGCCGAAATCGTTCTTGATCAATGGCTGCGCTGTTTCCAGCTAGCCCTTGGATCTCGTTCACGGCCCGCAACTCCTGGTTCTTGACCAAGTGGAATCGTTCCTGCATTGCTTGTAAGGCTTGTTCCGAACTTGCTGTGTTTGACCGGAGGACCAAGTTCTCTCTGGCATGTTCATGAAGTTCATGAGTCAGACGCTCATACTCACGTGCCATAAGCTCACCATCGCCTTGCGCTCTTGCCTCCAACTGCACAAAGTTAGTGGCTGCCTCCGTGCGGAACACGTGTAGCTGTTGAGCTAACTCCTCGGCAACGGCATGTGCTTGACGTTGTTGAGCAGAGTTCTGTTCATCCATGCGAAACAAAGCTGTTTCATAGTCTCGCTTCATCTCCTGATTGACATTGTTGATGTGCCTCATGGCTAAGCATGCATGGTCACGTTGTCGTTCCAATTCTTCAATGCGAATTCCAGATCCTTCATCTTCTTGTTGCATCTCCTTGATCTTGTCCATCAGGGTCTGAACAACTCCTTCGTATTCTTGCATCTGACTGCGATAGTACATCTGCTGCGCAAGGTTAGATGCTTCGAGCTGTTGCGAAATCGTCAGTTCCTGATAGGCATTCGGACCATCGGCTATGGCTGGCGTGGTCACCGATGACGCATCGCCACGTGCTGGGATAGTGTCCAGAGTCATATCCAGATCGTCAGCATCACGTGGTTGATTGGTAACCATCCGATTCCAAGTCATGGATTTGTCACGTCCACGAGTAGCCGAAGTCCTCGATCGTGCTGAAGAGCTTCTCGAAGATGATGGTCTTGACTTCTTTTCCAAGGTCTTCACTCCTTTGTCCTTGGCCCTGGACGTAGTCCGAGGTGCCTGAAAACCAGACGCTTCGGCTCGTCGTTCGGGAGCCTTGCCCGTCCTCGAACCTGTGGATGTCGGACGCGAAGGCGTAGATGCTCTTGGTAGACTCTTTGCTTTCACCTTGGGAACTGCCTTTGCAATGGCAAGCGCAGAAGATTGACCTTTGTCATCTTCCGTGGAGCTATCAACGGATTGCACCACTGTGTCATCAGCTGTTGACTCACCAACGGCTGGCGCTGCCACATCGGCACCGAAAGTCATTGTCGTATCTTGGCTTGATCCCGAGTTCATTGTGGTCGTAGTAGATCAAGTAGTCGTTGCTGTAGAAAGGCAGAGCCGCGTACGGCTGATAACCTGCGTGGGGGATTGATCTCGACTAGGTTGCTGCTCTCCCCACCAGAGCTGTAATGAATGTAGGTGTGGCTGGCTTGCACTCTCCACAGACTGGACCCTGTCTCTCTTACACTTCCACGCGTGCAATCCTATGCAGGCAGAACCGGCGGCCGTTCCTTTTGCACTCACTGCCGGCGGCGGTTCGTCTGTGCAACGGGATAGCTCTGATTGCTCAGGATAGAAGACACATATAGCACTTAGCTATGGGCATTGACTTGAGCCAAACGTTGCGTGGGCGGTCACATAGAAAGGTAAAGATGAGGGACGCGTAGCGTGCCCCCTTAGAGTCGAGGGACGCGTAGCGTGCCCCCTTCTCTTGCACTTTACACGGTCTTGCTCACAGCTCTTATAGTGACACCTTAGAACTTGACAAGGCATCGCAGTCCGTTCGCAATCACCCTTTGTAAGGAATATACCATAGTTCCCATAGTTTAGAGTCCTCAGGGTCATGCAGGATGTTGTCCATGAACAGTATGCGTGCTGATGTAGGTAGCAGGATTTGGGGCACAAGGTGCTTTCGCTGCAAGTCAACCCTTGAAGAGTCAAGTTTTCTATGATCTAGTACTAATATGCTATATCATACTCTTATCTACTATAACATACTGTACTCTGCCGCAATATACTACAATATACTATAACCTACTTCAATTTTCTATAATATACTACCATCTTCTGAGTATCTAAATTCTTCTATCTTATATTATAGTACAATCTGCTACAAAATACTACAACAGACTGTAATAGACAGACTATAATATACCCCCGAAGAACGACCGTTCAATTATCAGACATGCGGGTGAAGTGCCTCAGATCGAGATTAGGAACGACCTGAAGGCTTTTGAGCTTTGATGCTCATGTCTTCGAGGGGCTCTGTGACCGAAAGTCTTCGGGGCGCACCACTCGAAGGCAGGTACAAAGCAATGAGGAAATAGGACATGATCCGGTAACCGAATCTGAAGTCTGGAAACCACTGAACATCCTGATGGCCTCGTTTGTGATACCGTGAAGTCTGCCGCTCTACCAAGGGCCCGGCCTGATGACGCGGCGCAGCTCTCGAACTGGACGTGGCTGTTGCCCACGATGAAATCTTTCAGGATGAAGAGAGCTCCGCCTTTTCCTTCCTGGCCGATCGCGTGCAGTATCTGAAACCCAAGCCTGACAGTCGCCGAGAACCCTGAATGAAAGCTGCTCGATTTCTTGTGGCGGGCGCTGACAAGCTGTAGCAGGTCATACAGTGGCATCCATGTGCATGTGCGCACGACTTCTGAGAACTGCCTGCAACTTATTCCGGCAACATCTGGCAACCCATAAGGAATCGGTAGACGCGGCTGACGACACTACTTTCTTCTGTGCGAGTCCGCTTGATTGCGCTGACGTACACATCCGGTCAGAGTTTCGCGTGTCGTTGCAGCACAACCCTTTGCTGGCCCCGTTGGCACTGGCCTCGCCGAGAAGTGATTTCTGGCAAAACATCGTGTGAGGCCACTACCAGACTAAGTTGGATGCCTACGTCATCGTTTACCACAAGAGTCACAAGAACAAAACCGAGAGAGATTGCTGCGATCTCATGATGCTTTTTGCTTGAAAAGACGGCCATGATGACGATGCATAGCTTTTCTCGGAACATCTGAGAAGGTGATGCGCACACCAAAAACCAGCGCGCGTGCGGGCTTTGCCATTTCAGGTTGCTCGATCCTTCTCTGCTTGTCTGATGAGGGCATGGCACTGGCAACCACCGTGATGTTTTGGGACGAAGACCCTTCGTCACCGTCCCTTCCAAGTGGGTATACACGGCTCTACCGCCGGTAGCAACCTGTCGCCTTATGCATGGTCCCGCAAGGAGGAAAGTCTTACAATAGCCCGTGATGTCGATCACGCCCAAGCCCTTTTAGTTATGGCAGAAAGAAAAAAGCACAGCCAAAAACTGGTCGCCCACACAAGAATGCAGCACACCTCAGAGGGCCGGGGACCCGGGTCTTCCAAAAACATTGATCACATACCGCCTCGCCATCAAATCATGAAAGAGCGTGTGCACTTCGCAGACTCGTCATTCTTGATATGTGAGGAGGACAGTCAGAATGACAGAGCAGGTGACCGGCACACCTACACCCTAGCTCTTAATCCCTAAACCCTAAACCCTGAACATGTGGGAGTTTCCGAAGATAGGGGACCCTAGTATAGTATCCTAAATAATAGGATCCTTACTGTAAGGATCCCCAAATAAGCTACCCCTAATTTTCGGAACCTCCCATGTCCTGACTGCGACAAGGGAGCCAGCTACAGTTCTTGTGTCGACTCATGGGCTGAACTGGAGAGCCACTGCTGGGGTTTGTAGGGCTTGGTTCCGACCGACGTACTAAGGTTTAGGGTTTAGGGTGGGGTTTAAGGCTTGCTTGATGCCACCGAAATCCATCTCCCGGCCTCGATGCCGTTTCTGCAGCCCACGAAGCTGGCGTGCGCGGCAAGCACCGTCATCTTCCCACTCACATTGATGCCTGAATGAGGGCCGTAAACTCGAACAGCTTGCACAGCTCCTCTTGGGCATGCTTCAGGTGATGATGCGTCAACGACTCTCCATGCTGCCCGAGATGCAGGGCCCATCCAACTCCTGCTCCCCCACGATCTGTATCTCACCCATCAAGGTCAAGTTGCCTGCCAAGGGCAACTTTCTGAATCTTGAAAGCGAAGCTGCCCTGTGCTGGGAGACTCCGGCAAAGACATGGTATCATTGCCTGAGTTCTCAACCTTCCAGATCGGGCACCCAGGACCACCCTGCTCCAGCAGCCCCTGAAGTTTGGAAGCTCTCCGATCGCGTCAAAGTACCCAGAAAGCCCTTAACTAGGTTGTTGTTCAGGAATTTATTTGACTTACCATGATAGGGATCTATAGTAAACAAGATGGTTTCCTTATTATGGTAACTCAAATTCAATCAATCCCTAAACTAGAACCCAGTGAACCCTAAACCCTAAACCCGACAGTCGAAGGAAACGGGTGCCTTGGAAGATCAGCGGCTCCTTGAGAGTCACCTCGCGGAGGAAGGAGTGGCTTTGCGCCGGGTTCTTGTTAAGGGTTTAGGGTTTAGGGTTAGGGTTTAGGGTTTAGGCTTTAGGGTTTAGGGTTTAGGGGAGTTCTTGTTAAAAGATTCAGTTTAAGCTAGCACAATCAGGAAACCGGGGGGGCCTTGGGTCTTGGAGCTTCAGCCAAGCTTGAGAGCTTAATATAGAGGCCTTCATAATTATGTATACTATTTTGGGGGCTCCTTATCTGATCATAGTATAATGGGCCCCTAAACCCTATCCTTAGAAGCTTGAGCAAAAGAATCCGTGCTTGAGATCGGATCACTTTTAGTTTCCTGGCCTGCAGCCCTGGATGCCCATGCCATGTGCAGCTGCTGTTGAGGATGCGGGCCGTGTCAATGACCTGATCGCATTTTGGATGCCAGAGCATTGCAAAGCTGGCTGTGTCAACTTCCAGTATTTCTAGGTGTTGCTGTCACTGCTACCATCATATGCTCAAGACCATCCTCAAGCACAGCGCAGTGACGTGGCTGCCATTGCGCGGAAGTCCATCGCAGTGAGGGTAGTCTGCCTGGGACGCACGTTTAGGATTTAGAACTTCTTTATCTATTATCCCTGACTCTCTGTATGCTGGCAACACGTTCAGCACTATAGACCGCAATCACTTGTTAGTCCGATCCTCTCTTATGATCCAACAATACACCAGCATCCCGTTGCAACCATGTCGTGCCTATGCTAGTTCCGAGATTTACGGCTCACCACGGCACATGGCCTATCCCAAAGACTCCAATATCCCTTAATTAAGGAATAGACTATACCTTGAATCATATTAGGGATCCTACTATAATTTAAGGGGTATTCCTTAATTAAGGTATTGGAGTCTGTGGGATTTCTGCAGCATCCGTGAACCACAAGGAATGCGGACCAGCGACTGATCCGCCTTCCAGAAAAGCAGCACCCGCCTTCACAAGTCAAGAGAACCTTGTAGGGTGCAGGGTTTCTTTTAAGTTGATGTGCACCCTTTCTCCAAAGCAGGGCTGGCATTTTGCCCTCGACTTAGTGAAACAAAAGCTCCCCTGAACTTGTAGGGTGTAGGGTTTAGGGGTCTGCTGGCTTGTGTCTTTGGAATGTAAACGTGCCCATGCCTAGCTGCCTAGCTCAAACTTCCAATCCCAAAACCCCGCACCGTACCAAGCCCTAAAACCTAAGCTCCCAGAACCATCCACCTTTCAGCAACACACGGCAAGAGAACCCGAAACCCTAAACCCTGAACCCTAAACCCTAAGCCCTGAACCCTAAACCTAAACCCTAAGCCCTGAACCCTAAGCCCCAAACCCAAAGCTCTCAGCCTGAACTCTAAACCCTGAACCCTAAACCCTAAGCCCTAAACCCTAAACCCTGAACCCTCAACCCTGAACCCCAGACCCTAAACCCTAAACCCTGAACCCGAGACCCTAAGCCCTAAGCCAGGAGCTGCCTCACGCAACCCAAGCTCGAGGTTTCGGTGCTTCGAATCCTCGGCCTTTAGAGGAGTTTTAAGGGTTTTGGGAGATTTAGGGTTTTAGGGTTTAGGGTTTAGGGTTTAGGGTTTAGGGTTTAGGGTTTCGGGTTTTAGGGTTGAGAGCTTTGGCTTCAATATAATTAGGGGCTTTAAGAGTATATAGGGTTTAAGGCTCTAGGCTTGAGAGTTTTGGGTTCAGAATAATTAGGGGCTTTACGAGTTTAGGATTTAAGGCTCCAGGCCCTCTGTTCGTGGGTCAAGACTTTCAGACTACGGACGACTGTGAAGGACCTGGGAACGCAGGGGCTTTGGGTTTAGGCGGTTTAGGGTTTAGGCATTCAGGGTCTAGGATTTGGGAGTTTCCGAAAATAGGGGACCCTAATATAAGACCCTAAATAGTAGGATCCTTCTTATAAGGACCCCCAATTAAGGTATCCCTAATTTTCGGAAACTCCCATTTAAGGACGTCTAGCTTTTCGGAAGGGGTTTGGCTTTCCCTGGTGGAGAAAGCCTCGAACTGGAGGATGCGCTGCAGGCACGAGTACTTGGAAGGCCAGGGGACTTAGTAAGTCGTTCATAAGTAGGGTTATAATTGGGGTAACTCCATTTAGGGTACTTATAACTCTACTTTCAACCTACTTACTAAGTCCCCTGCCCTTCCAAGTATCATCGAAAGAGACATTCACGGGTGTTCACGCAAGGTTGCTGTTCACTATTGTTCTCGGGATTAATGGGAGGTATACAGGTTCTACGAGATGTTCAGTTATGGAGATGTGTGAGCGTCCGAATACCCCAACTTGGCCAAGAAAATGCTGCAGATGCATCTTGAAATCTTAGTTAGGCATGCGTGCAGGCTGCCACGCCTCGACAGCCCGCAACAGAACCCCGGAGTCCCACGCCCAGACCTTGATTCCTAGACTCCTTTGCGATGAGGAGTTTCAATGAGCTTCAATGGTCATGCGACTACAGCGAGAACAAAGTGCGTCCACAGATCGCAGCGCGATCGATCTGCTTCTGAAATAGCTGAAAGCCCCACTGGGAGGATCATGGGACTTAGTAAGTAAGGTTAAACGTACCTTTTTGGGGGTTATAAGTAGTTATAAGTAGAGATACCCTAGTTATAACCCTAGTTACTAAGTCCCATGATCCTTTAAGCAAGACCCCTAACAGTTGCCACAAACACGGGGCCTCTGCAATCGGGAGGACATCGGGAGGCGCTGCCTGCCGAGCCGCACTCATGAGGGGGCCTTCATAGTTAGAATGGGTTTAAGGTTTAGGGTTTAGGCTTAGGGTTTTGGGGGCTTTTAACGTAGGTAACTATTTTGGGACTTCATAGTTAGAATAGGGTTTTAGGGGTCTTTTAATGTAGGCAATTATTTTTGGGCTTCCTTATTGAGCCTGCTTGGTTCAGGAAGTTGTTCGGAACTTGGAGGTGTGTGTGATCAAGGCCCAGAAATCTCAGAGTCGACCACAGCAGACAGCCTGATGCACTCCTTCGTACATTGGTCGATGATCTTATGTAATACTACTGCTCGTAGTCGTATATGGGGTTACTGATGACAGGTCTGATCGAATAGACCACCCCCCAAGGCCTTATCTAGTTATGAGGAGTTTTCCATTCTCGAACACTGACGAACCCCAGAACCCTAAAGCCTCTAAGCCTTAAGCCCCTAAGCCTTAAACTCCAAACCCGAACCCCAACATCGTGGCCTCTGCTTCTAGGAGCTGTTGGAAGTCTTCTCGGGAGGGGCGCACGGCGCCGGTGATCCACAGCCCTTGGTGCAACACTTGCGGTTTGGGTTTAGGGCTTTAGGGTTCATTTTTTTAGGGTTTAGTGCTTCACAGGGTTTGGTCATAGGGGTTGGGGGCTTGGGCTTTAACTGCCAGCATCACGAAAACCCTGGACTAATCGCAATACTTACTTTGGCAGCTTGTATGCAACGATTTGCGGCGGCAGGCGCTTTCGGATGCTGACAAGCCGAGGCTCCCAAGAGGAGTGTGGCGAAGCTCCCGGCGAGGGACATGGGCCGCAAACATCGAATGCGCCCACCGGCTTCACTTAGCCGGATTTGAACTTATGAAAGACGAAGTCAAACAACGAAGCCATGAGCTCTCTGGCTTTGAGCCAGGGCTGTGGCTGCGGTGGCGTAGGTCGCACACTTCCCTAGCTGAGGTCGTCAGGAACCAGAAAAAACAACGGCTAGGAACCTGCCCTGTCCTTCAGAACATGGGTGAGGCATGTACATACATACATACATACATACGTACATACATACATACATACATACATATATATATATATTACACATAGTAAAGCATACCTAGGTATAGAGATTTACATATATAAATATACATAGCCAGAGAGAGAGAGAGAGAGAGAGAGAGAGAGAGCGCTACCAGTTCTATGTGTGTGTGTGTCTTATAAAACCCTTGTTATGCAGAATGTTTGTTTGGGTCCTTTCAAGTTTCTTCCAGGCGTATATGCAACTGTAGTAGATACGAGGATCTTGCAAAACCCTGGCCGCATCTTGCCTAAATTGTGAAAACATAAGTGCAAACTCGGGCCTGCAGTGCGGCTAGCTGCCAAGCAAGCCCCACCCCCGCACACCCGATCCGCTCCTGGTCGAAAATCCCCAACGTACTCTGTAGCCGGGTTTCAAAGGCTTCTACAGGTATCAGGGGTCCTACTGCACGGGGTAAGGTTTGAGGTTCAGAGCTTCTGTAAAGGAGGAACAGTTCTTCAGGGGCTGGCTGGTGATATGGGAGCTGGTCAAACTCATGGATTCCTCCCCTTGACGTGAAGATCCTCCTATGTGTTGGCTCTTCGTTGGAGTCCCATGCTTATGGAAAGGGCCTCTTTAAGAAAGCGCCTCTATTGCTGATCCAGTAAACGACAGCAAGGACAACACACTGCTGCGAACTGTTTCGATATCATGGAGGAGGCATAACAGTCGAGACTGCGGGCCGCCGAGCTCACTTGGCTGCTTGCCTGCAACAAAGGCACATCGATTGCATGCACACGTGCGCCTACGTGCATATGCAACTGCAGAACGGTAGAAGTTCCGAACCCTGAATTTCGAATGTCTCATATCACACCACCTTCACACCTTGGGCCAAAAGATTCCCAGCTGCAACGACGCATGACCCGGCAAATTGAACCAAACCAAAACCGGAACAAGCCGGTGCTGCTGGAGCCTCTTACCCCCTGGTCCGACATGATGCGAAGCTCTGAAATCAATGCAAAACTGAAGAGCAAGCAAACAGAGAATTTCGTTCTGCCTGTGCTCTCGGACCAGCTCTTGCATCACTCTAAAGGTCATGATGGCACCTGGGCCCGGAGCTCGTGAGAGGTATTGAGGGGTGACTGCTGGCCGGGCTTGCCTACTTGGAGGTTCATGGGTAGTTATAAGTGGGGTTATAAGTCCCCTAATATAGGTTTATAACCATAGTGATCCTACTTATAATCCTACTTATAACTACCCATGAACCTCCAAGTAGAAACGAAGTGCGGGCTGGGGGTCAGAAAGCGAAGCCCCGGACCAAGACTACACCTTGGGTACTGCCCCCATACAGTAAGAGTCTATAATAGGGCGACTATTAAGGTCCTGATATATCTATATTATGACTGTTATTCAACTATTACTGAGTGCGGGCCGTACCCAGAATACACCCCAAGCTTAAAGTAGCCAATGAAAACGATTATATGACACGGTTGATGCCTAGCTTGGGCAACTTCTCAGGAGTTCCTGGAAAACACACACAGGGGTCACTGCCACTCCGGTTATTACTTCGCGTAATTGTTAGCTGCTGTCGTTGTTGTCGATTGTGGTTGTGGTGTTGGTGTTGCTGTTCGTGTGAGTGTTGCTGGTGTCGCTGTTGATCTTACTGCTAGCGCCGCTGCTGCCGTTGCTGCGAATGCTGCGACTGCTGCTGCATGTTGCTGGCGAGGCCATCCTCGTTCTAATTATCATGATCATCATCATCGTCATCATGATCATCGTCATCGTCATCAACGACACCATCACTATTGCCATCACCCCCATCGCCACCATCACCATCATCAGCCGCAGATGGCCATCATGATCATTACATGGTCATCTCTATGGCCGTTATCGCCAACATCAGCACATCATCAGCACCATCACCGTAATCATCATCAACAACAGCAGCAGCAGTCGCAGCAAAAGCAACCACAACCACAACCACAACATCAACTGGCTCCGACATAACAGACAATCGTTTCAGCAGAAGTGGCTCGCCACAGCCGCGACAGCTGCGGTTGTGAAGATGATCGACTGCTGAGTGGGCACTGAATGCCCCCAGTGGAACTCATTTGCAAGCCTCGGTTATCTTCCACACATTAAGTACTGCCCCCATACAGCCCCATACAGTAAAAGTCTATAATAGGGCCACGATTAAGGTCATAATATATCTATATTTGGAGTATTATTCAACTATTTCTGAGTAGGGGCCGTACCCAATCCACACAGTAACAATAAACGCTTCGCTGCTGCTTGGGTCGAGCCGCACGATGAAAGTCAACAGCAGCAGCCGGTTTAGGGTTTACTGTAGGGTTTCAGCAGCAGCAACAGAAGCAACGACCGGAACAAGAACCACCGACAGACAATAGACAACAGGCAACAATCAACAAACAGCAACAGACAACCACGACCAACAACAAACAACCATAACCAAAGATTAATAAAAAAAATGGCAGCAACATCTATTTCGACTACTGCTACTACTACTACTACTACTACTACTACCACTACTACAACAACAACTACTGCTATTACTACTTCTACTGCTCCGGCATTGCTAGTGCTACTGCTACTGCTACTGCTACTACCGCTACTGCTACTTCTGCCACTACTACTCCTACTACTACTACTACTACTACTACTACGACTACTACGACTACGACTACGACTACGACTGCTACGACTACTACTACTACTACTACTACTACTACTACTACTACTACTACTACTACTACTACTACTACTACTACTACTACTACTACTAACTACTACTAACTACTACTAACTACTACTACTACTACTACTACTACTACTACTACTACTACTACTACTACTACTACTACTACTACTACTACTACTACTACTACTACGACGACAATGACCACAGCTAGTAAGCAACAACAACAATAATATTAACAATTACACTTACGCAAAAGATACTAAGCTGAGCCTGCCAGTGCTCTCTTGTTTGGGGCAGTGGCTTAGGGCTTGGCGTTTAGGGTTTGGGGTTTTGGGCTTTGGGTTGGCCGTGAGATTTTGGGCATGGGATTTGGCAGGCTAAGCGCCATGCGGCTATGCGCTTGCAACCTCTTTCCCAACTGTATGGTAGCCGCCATCCGCCCTCAGCCCGCGAAGCCCTGTATGCTTGAAGCCTTGCCCAGAGAGCCCAATACCCCTTAATTAAGGAATATGGTCTAAATTATATAGGACTTCATATTATGATTTAAACTATATTCCTTAATTAAGGGGTATTGGGCTCTCTGGGTGAGACCCAGGAACACCACTGAAGCAGCTCACTCTGGAGCAATAACCTCAAACCCCAAAAGCGTGTTCCCTGGACTGCAGACCCCTAAAGTTCAAAAAGAATCTTGGATCAAGAACTGAAGCTCTCCAACCCCAAATCAAAGCTTAAGGGTTTAGGAATTTAAGGGTGTTTAGGGTTTAGGGTTTAAGGTCTAAGGTTTAGGAATTTAAGGGTGTAAGATAGCGGCTGGAGAAGACGTGCTCTGGCAGGACGGCTACCCGAAACAGATAACCCTTACTCGGGCGGGGGTTTTCAAAGACATGAGCTCCGATGCAGACTAAGGCTGTGAAGCGCTGGGCCCTGGGGCCTTCGAATGCTACTTGGAAGGGCAGGGGACTTAGTAAGTAGGTTATAAGTAGAGTTATAAGTACCGTAAGTGGAGTTACCCCAATTATAACCCTACTTACGAAGGACTTACCAAGTCCCCTGCCCTTCCAAGTACGGTTTAGGGTTTAACGCTTAGGGCTTAGGGTCCACCTCCTGAACCCGCGAGTCCCCCAAAAAACCCTGAGAACAAAAAGCTGAAGTGGAAGAGGCCTTCATAATTGAAGCGAGTCGTTCTCGAGGGGGGTATACTTTCAATATAGTACATTTATGATAACTGAATTATGTAGAGCAAGGAACCCGGGTTACACTTTCAATAGAGTACAAGTATGATAATTGTATTATGTATCCCGACCGAACGCGTATTCAGGATCCGAGAACAGCTCTGGCCGAATGGCAAAGTTGACACGCTCAAGATCATGAGCATCGCCACGAAGAGCAGGCAGATTTCGATCCTGCAGGCAAGTTGCGAGGAGCTTACTTAATATACTACTATACTATACTATACCATACTGTAGTATTTAACCATACTACAAGTACCATACTTTACTGTAGTATAGTACAGTATGGTTTTCAGTTCCTCTCACGACCTGACTTTGAGCATCCAGGCTGCAAGGCACATCCTGTGCGCGAGCGTAGCAAGTCCGCAAGTCCGGGGATTGTTGGTTTCGGTGTGAGTTTGAGGCTTCCATCTCAAGACCCCAGCCGAACGCAGCAGCCCCAATACGGCATTCTCACCCCGAGTCTTCAAGTCCATGTCACCGCAAAGGTTTAGGGCTTAGGGTTCACCCACCCCGAAAACATGTCAGAAAAGGCAAGATGGAGCGCATGCACCGGACCCATCGCTCCAGTTCCACTCCGGCGTGTGGTAAGGCTGGTAGAGGCAGTACAGAAAAAGCGACATCCAAACCACCATGCCTGGACCAAGGAAAGAGATGGTGGTCGTAGGATGTAGGAGGTTTCCGGGGTATCGGATTACTGTCTTGGGTTTGGGGTTTGGGAATCAGGGTTTGGGGTTTGGGGTTTAGGGTTTAGAGTTAAGGGTTTAGGGTTTGGGGTTTAGGGCTTAGGGTTTACAATCTGCTTTTTCCCAAAGGTTTCCCTTCTGCGCCATGAGCAGAGCGAGGATCTTCTTGCAAATCGGAGCCCTCAATCATTCGGGATTGGGGAAGAAGGCTTCTTGTTTAGGGTTTCAGACAGCCCGGAAAAAAGCACCGGAAAAGGCCTAGAGCCTCAATAGCAACCAGCACGCGCTTGTGTAACCTTTACATAGGAGTTTCCGAAAATTAGGGGTACCTTATTTGGAGTGCTATGCTAGGGTTCCCTGTTTTCGGAAACTTCCACATAGTTGCAGCATCCACACAGCCGGAAATGATGATGAGGGGAACTGTCCGGTCATATTCCCCGACAACGTTTCGGGATCAGTACTACCCAAGACACCTCTCCTGAGATCGTGAGTACTCGGAGGTTCATGGGTAGTTCTCAGTAGGGTTATAAGTCCCCTGGTATAGGTTACAAGCATACCTATCCTACGTACAACCCTACCTATAACTACTCATGAACCTCCACGTAGGTCGCAAACCCTAAACCCCTATAGAATCCCTATAGACCCCTTTAAACTACCCAGGAACCTCCAAGTATGAGCCTTTTCGGGCCTACTCTGCTCGCCTAGGCATCCCATCTGCAAGGCCGGTGAGGAGGAGATGGGAAGCAAGGCACCGATGAAGGTGAAGAGCGTCTTCCTTCATTCCGAAGGCTTTGAAACAAAAAGGCGTTCGGCAATGCTTAAGGTTTAGGGTTTAGGGTTCAGGCTTAGATTCTTGGGTTGGTGGCCAGATGGGTTATGCCTTCTGTGGGCTTAGGCTCTTCGGCCAAGGCTTCAAAGCTTAAGGACGAGGCTTGCTGTCACTGTCGGCAAGTGCAGCTCCAACAGCGATTGGTCTGCATTATCTACATTCCTTTATGGGTTAGGGTTTAGGGCCAGTTTAGGGTTTAGGGCCAGTTTAGGGTTTAGGGTTTAGAGGTTAGAGTTTAGGATTTACTGTAGGGTTTAGGGTTGAATATTTGAGGGATCGTGTCTTCTCTGCCGAAGCCCTACAAGCTCTACTTGGAGGATCCTGGGACTTAGTAAGTAAGGTTATAAGTACCTTTATTGGGGTTATAAGTAGTTATAAGTAGAGTTACCCTAATTAGAACCCTAGTTACTAAGTCCTCTGCCCTTCCAAGTATGGGTCCTGATCAGGCGCTCCGTCTCGAAGAGCGCGTACCGCGGCTGGTACTTGCTGGTTAGGAAGACCACGTGGCTGGGTGGCGGATCCTCCAGGTCCAGTTGACTAATATTACTGCTATTTCTAGTATCAATATTGCAATTTTGGCTGCTATTCTTACAACTCGTCTTCTTATTGCTAGTATGTCTAGGCTCTGTCCAACAAGCTGCAAAAGCCGCGAGGCCTTGCAAGCCTGTGTTTTCCAGGAGTTTGATCAGGTCTGAAAGGGTCTCATAGGGCTTGGGATCAGGGTTTCGGGCTTAGGACAATTAGGGTTTAGGGCTTAGGGTAAGCTCGGGCCTTTCATATCCAATCACTGATAAGCACTGGAATTTGGGGTTGACTCTTCCCGGCGTGAGGCCGCAAACGGTTGGTTTCCACTGCGTCAACCCGAAACCCTAAACCTAAACGCTGGGATTTATGTTGGAGGCGACGTTGATACGATCCCTAAACCCTAAACCCTAAACCCTAAACCCTAAATCCTAAATCCTAAATCCTAAACCCTAAATTTTGGAAACTCTTCGCCCTGCTAAACCCCAAGCCGCCCCCCCCCTGTTTCTCCTCGCCTCTTCGGATCTGGAGAGGCTAAGCCTCAGAAAAAAGCCACAAGTTTCCCAAGATCGTCACTTCGAAGACCTCGAAACCTAGGCCCCAAGGGTGGGGCCCCTGGGCTTCTGAGAGTAAAGTTTAGGGTTTAGGGTTTAGCGGTTTATGGATTTTGGGCGTAGTGTTTAGGATTTAGGGGTTTAGTTTAGGGTTTAGTGTTTAGGGGTTTGGGGATTTAAGGCTTAGTGTTCAGGATTTAGGGTTTAGGGTTTAGGTTTTGGGGTTTAGGCCCAAGACGCATAGCGCCGTGAGCTCAGGAAGCCGATCGATGCTTCGACTACCGTCACCCCACAGCAGGCAGGTGGATGCAGTGTTGCTAATATTTACAGTAGAAGCCAGAAAGTTGGAACATCACTAGCCTCATGCCTTTAAAGCAAAGCATAGGGAATCCTAGCACGGATCCTCCTAGATCCATGTTCCAACTTTCTGGGGTTCACGACAGCTTCTTAACAGTTCAGAACAGGTACTAGTACTACCAATAACTTGTGAAAATCAACTAGCTCTTTATTCTAAGGCTGCAGCCGTCACACGACCTTCGCGTTTCGGGTCGACGGTTTAAGTTCGAAAGATGCTCGGTGCCGGATAGGTCTTACGTCGGTTCGCACCAAACCTGACATGACATTCCCAATCCTGAATTGAACCCTTAACCTCAAAACGGCGCTACGACCCTGGCAACCCAGCCAAGAGGCCATGTCCAAAGAGCGGCGACCATGAACACAGTTAGGCCCACAGCCACCTCGAGCTTCAACCCCTACTTGAACCCGGAGGGAATCTTGTCTGGAGCATGTTCGGCAAGAACGGCAATGGGTGGTCTGAAATACCAAAATGACGATGCTAAAACTGATCCCAACAAGAATGGTTGGAGGGCATATCCTTTATGTAACATAGCAGGCAAGCAGCATGAGAGCCAACAAGGAACATTTACGGAGTCAGGCTTCAAGCTTGGAGGATCTGAGAAGGAGGGTGGATGCAGCTTGGGGCGGAAGAAGAAAGTAGATCCCCTTATTTGGGGCCCTATACTACTAAGGGTACTTTATAGGAACCCCCATCAAGAACCTCTGAAAAGGGACATAAATCCGAGAACGACGGCCAGGGTGTACGTCACATGGCTCTTCATGTCCTAGGCTGTGCTGCGAGCATCCCACTACTAAACCCTAAACCCAAACCCAAAATCCTAAACCCTAAACCCAAAACCCTAAACCCTAAACCCAAAAGCCTAAGCCCTAAACCCAAAACCCTCTAAACCCTAAACCCTAAACCCCCAGAAGGCTTCTCACCTGCGTTGCACCGGCGAGCCCGGGGAATCCGGGGATGAAGGGGCAATGGAGGCCGTCGCTCGGCTGCAGGCGGAAACCTGAGACTGCAGAGACAGGTTCGAAGCCTAAATCCTGATCCTTGAAGGGGTCCATAAGGGATCCACAATAAAGTTCCTCAAAGGGGTCTATAAGGGATTTACAATAGGGTTCTTTATTCGAGACCTCAATAATTACCAGTATTATTTTGTGAATGCACAGCTGTTTTGAACATGCCCGGAGCAGGCTTGGGGTCGGTTGGCGCTGCCTGGGTTGGGAGTTCGGGGTTCAGGAACCCTAAACCCTGAACCCTAAAGCCCTACAACCCTAAACCCTAAAGCCCTAAACCCTAAAGCCCTAAACCCTAAAACCCTAAAGCCCTGAACCCTAAAACCCTTTAACCCTAAACCCTAGAACCCTAAACCCTGAACCCTGCAGCCTCGACCCTGACACACGAAGCCCTGGGTGCCCTGCACACGAGATATTTCCCGAAGTCGGCTGCGATGGCGGGCAGAAAGCAGTTTATGCCTCTACCGTGGCTGAACGACGTTTAGGAGTTCGGGGATTTGAGGGTCTAGGGGGGTTTAGGGTTTAAGGTTGGGCATAAGGTTTTGGGTTACGAGTCGCGCACGTCCAGGAATTCTTAACACGTAGAAAGGAGTTTGGAAAACTAGACATACAAATATGCATGATATACATATTTGGATATATGCACATGGGTGTGTATGTATGCTACGTATGAGAACAACCTGGCGGCGCAGTAGTCACAGGACAACTGCTGCTTTTGCATGCATCGCAACTGCAGGATATGCGCTCTTTGTCCTGATTGTGAGTTCGGGCTCCCCTACGTCTGTGGGAAGGCGACCATAAGTATCTTTTCAATCAATACACTGATCCAAGATGGTGGTAGATGACAGGTGCTCGGGCAGCTTCACAGGTTGGTTAATCGAACACATTTGAAAAAATCCTCGAAAACATGCAGGACAGATTGAATGTGCTGCATATTTCGATTGCACCATGTATGACAGATTCTTCCAACTATTTAGCCGCGGTTCGACGGAGGCTCGATTCAGACTGGCCTGCGATGAGGGCAACGCGAAAATCCTTCATGAAGGAAAGCGATGACATGAGCCCGGCTGCCACAACCTTCAGAGTTCTCAGAGATTTGCGCCTACTTGGCCTAGAGGCTCTAAGAACCTGGGCTGCAGCAGCTGACGCACAGGTTAGAAGAAACAAGTGTGGGCATGTGCTTGACAGGCCAACAAAAGTAAGCACCCGAACTTCCCTTCGATTTTGTTTTGCGGCTCGAAGAAACCCAAAGAAACCCTGAGCCTCACCTTGGATTTCGATCCCAGGCAAGTCTGTGCGGCCCAGCGACGACCTCCAGCAGGTGCGCGCCCCACCTGAGCCGCAGTCCACACACACTACAACGCCATCCTCGTCCGGGAGACGAAACCGTGCACCCCACGTCTCGTCAAGGAATCCTACAGTAGTCAACGAGAGTCCAAGCGACACCCCGAAAGGATCCACAAAAGTACATCCGTTTTTATGGGGCTTCCTACAAATTACCCTTAGTAGCATAGGGCCCCAAATTAAGGGATCTACTTTCCCTTATAGGTCCCTGAACCTTAAACCCTAAAGGATCCCATAAAGGAGCCCTTTTATGAACCCTACTAAGTCCCATTAGGGCCCCAACTTAGGGGATCTAATTTCCCTTATAGATCCCTAAACCCTAAACCCTAAAGGATCCCATAAAGGAGCCCTTTAAGGAACCCTACTTAGTCCGATTAGGGCCCCAACTTAGGGGATCTACTTTCTAGATCCTCCCGGGGGTCTGGGGACTTCGCTGTTGCGACCCAGACGCAGCGTCTTCTCGTAGCCGACGTACGACAGCAGACACTGTGAGGAGGCGCTGCGCAGGGATCCTGCGGAAGGGATTAGCAACTAGGGTTATAATTTGGGTAACTCTACTTATAACTACTTATAACCCCAACTAAGGTACTTATAACCTTACTTACTAAGTTCCATGATTCTCCAAGTATAAAGGGTACTATAGTGCAGGGGCCTTAATAATTAGAACAGGGTTTGAGGGGTTCCTTCTTATAGTTATGGTATACTTTTATCAACGTAAAAGGAAACCATACTATTTACCACAGTAGAGAGATCCCCACTATGGTAACTTTAATGAAATGCGAGATGCTGGTTCACCCCTGAAAACTGACCTCGAACGCAAGGAGACCGGCGGCTCACCAGTTCCATGCGTGAAAAGAAACCCTACTTGGAGGTTCATGGGTGGCTTAAGGGGGCTTAGGGTTTAGGGTTCAGGGTTTGGCGTTTTGGGGTTTAGGGGTTTAGGGTTATAAGTAGGGTTATAAGTAGGATAACTATGGTTATAACATATATTAGGGGACTTATAACCCCATTTAGAACTACCCACTAACGGCTTCTAGGGACCTGATTATCGGGTCGGCCCTGATTCTAAGGTCCCTGGAAGCTTTTGGAAACTGATGAAATCTTGCTCCCTAAACCCTAAACCCTAAACCTCTTTTTTGCCCTAAACCCTAAACCCTGAACCTCTTTTTTGCCCTAAACCCTAAACCCTGAACCTCTTTTTTGCCCTAAACCCTAAACCCTAAACCTCTTTTTTGCCCTAAACCCTAAACCCTAAACCTCTTTTTTGCGCTAAACTCTAAACCCTAAACCCCTTTTTTGCCCTAAACCCTAAACCCTAAACCTCTTTTTTGCCCTAAACCCTAAACCCTAAACCTCTTTTTTGCCCTAAACCCTAAACCCTAAACCTCTTTATTTGCCCTAAACCCTAAACCTCTTTTTTGTGAAGCCTCGGGCAGGGAGGTATGGACTGGCAGCTCAGGCTCTTCCGATTCGGTAGTTTCCGAAAATGGGGGAGCAAGTATAGTACCCTAAATAGTACTTAAAGGATCATGGGACTTAGTAACTAGGGTTGCAATTAGGGTAACTCTACTTATAACTACTTATTACCCCAACTAAGGATACTTATAACCTTACTTACTAAGTCCCATGATCCTCCAAGTAGTATCCTTGGTATGAAAATGAGGCTCAATAATTTTCTGAACCGACCCTGCTTAAAATTGAGATCCGTAACTCCCAATCTGAAATTGCAATGTAAGGACCCCAAAATACTATCTATATATATATATATATATAAATACCCCGAATGTTCGGAAACCCCATTCCGGAACTCCACAACTGACAAAGACTCAGATCCTTGTCCGGAGGCCGCCTCCGCCGTGTGTGCAGCAGCATTGAAAAAGAAGTTCGCCTTAGCAAAGAACTTTCTACCGAACTGCTTCGAAAAGGTTCGGCGGGGCCCGGGCGGCTTCACTTTTGATGTCCTTCGCCGTCTTGGTCTGCAGGATGGCTGCCAAGATCCTCGGCGCGCGCTGGACCCGAAGACTGTTTAGGGTTTAGGGTAGAGCCCCACCAAAAGAGCCCAAAAGCCCGCTCGTCACCGCCAGAAACCCTAACCCTAAACCCAAATATGCCGGCAAAAGCGTCGTGTTGGAGATGGTAGCGAAGGCCATCAGCTGGTTCAGGTAGATGCTGCTTTGCTTCAGGTCCCCGGCCTAATGCTCCGGTACTTGGAGGGTTCCTTTAAAGGGTCCCTTTAAAGGGGTCTATAGGGATTCTATAGGGGTTTAGGGTTTAGGGTCTACTTTGGCGGTTCATGGGTAGTTATAAGTAGAGTTATAAGTAGGATAACTATGGTTATAACCTATGTCAGGGGACTTATAACCCCACTTATAGCTCCCCTTTTTAACCTCCAAGTAGCCGAGGCAAGGTCAGGGCTTTAGGGCTTTGGGAACTTCAGGGCTCGAGGGGTTTAGGGTTTAGGGTTTTGGGGTTTTGGGGTTTTGGGGTTTTGGGGTTTAGGGGTTGTGGGGTTGGGGTTTAGGATTTTGGGTAGGCTGGCTTCGACAGTTTCTGTTTCTTTCGGGCTCGGGCTTCACTTAAGTCTTTGGCATTGAGATGTGCTTGGACTTTGGGGCATGCAGGGCTTAGGGTTTAGGGTTTAGGGTGTAGGGTTTGGGGTTTAGGGTTTACGGTCATGTCAAGCGTCCTTCTTGGCTCCAAGCGCACTGAAAGCCCCGAGCGCGAAGAGGAAGCTGCGCTGAGACAGGAACGTGATCCACTGCACCACCTGCACTGAAGCTGGGTTCTTGCTCAGGAATTTAAACTAACTTAAAAGATCGGGATCTATAGTAAATAATGGGGCTTCCTTATTATGGTAACTTACAACAAGTGCCTCTTCCCAGGCGGTAGGACTATGCTGGAGGATGTGTCGCGATGGCTAGGACGGAAATCCAGGATATCAAAGCTCTTCACATCGCGTTTGGGACCCTGAAATGAAAGCCGGTTTAGGGTTTAGGGGTTTAGGTTTAGGTTTAGGGTTTTGTGTTTAGGGTGTAGGGGTTTAGGGTTTAGGGGTTTAGGGGTAGGGTTTTGGGTTTAGGGTTTGCGGTTTAGGGTGTAGGGGTTTAGGGTTTAGGGGTTTAGGGTTCAGGGTTTCCCCATGAAACTTTCCCAGACGTCCCGAGATTTCTGCCTGCATACGGCGGTCTTGGCTGCAGGCGCTGCCTCGGCTTTAAACGTGTCCTGTCCTTCATGACTTCGAAGACAGGCAGCTAGAGGAGACCACCATGTAGATGACTATTTATGTGTATAATACATATATAAATAATAGGTGCCGTAATATAATAGGAACCCAAAAAGGGACCATAATTTTGACAACCACCCACATCTGTGTGTGTGTGTGTGTGGGGGGGGGGGGTTTTCAGGACACAGCCCGAAACGCGAACAGCAAGAAGTTGTGCGTCGCTGCCTCTCGTTCTGAGCTCGTGATGGCCGCCTTCGACGGCTGGACAAAGCTAGGCCGTGTAGGCTTTAGGGGTTCAGGTTTAGGGCTTAGGGCTCGGGGCTTAGGGTTTCGCGTTTAGCGTTTACGGCCTAGGGTTTAGGGCTTAGGGTTCGCCGTGGAATAGAACGTAGGCGATAATATCTTGCGACAAGTTGTGTCGAGTGCATCGTACTGTGGCGAGGAGCTGCGAAAGCCTGTCTACAGAAGACTGTTTCCTTCTTTCTTTCCCACCCCACGCCGTAGAAGGCGGCCAAGCCCGAGGCCAAAACTCATGCCATGCGGTTTTTCCCGCTTTCTAAGGCAGGGAGTGAGGGCAGGCAGGGCAGGAAAGGGGCAGGGCAGGGCCACATCGGGAAAACGGTCGAGCCCTGTACCAGAATCAAGACATCGTTGTGCAGGCATGGATACCGAAGGCAAGTCGCGAAAGAACGGAAACTAGTGTGGAACCCTGAAATCCAGACTGGCAAGGTGCACGAGAACACACTGTTGTCCGCCATGGCGTGCCCATCACTGCAGCTCGTGCAGCCTTGTCCTCGGTAGCCTTGCCATTTCGGGTTCAAGTTTTCGTGATTTGGCGTCGAGGCTTCTGTGCTTCCACGCCTAAGTGCGCAAAACAACAAAGCTTCGAAGCGTGCAGCAGAAAGTACGTCCAAAGATTTGCAGTCCAAACCCAAGCCTCAGATCCTGAAGCTCTTGCAGCCGATGCAGCCTTCCTCGCACATCGCTACTTGTACTCTTCCCTTGGCCACATGGCCCCCAGGGCAAGAAGCCTCGAGGGTGGACTTATTGGGTATATAGTCGAATTAGTACGTAATTTATCCGTAGTAATTAGTGTTAGTATTAGAATATTAGTCTTGATAATTGATCAGTAGTAATTAGTGTTAGTATTAGAATATTAGTCTTAGTACTAGTAAACTAGTATTAGTATGAGGCTTTAGGGCATAAGACCAGTTTAGATATCATGGGGTGGAAGTCGTGAGGCCGGGAGGCCGCGAGATCAGGTCGTCAGGCCGCGAGGTTTACCCATTCCCGAAGTCCCATTGTCAGGTCTGATCCCAAAAACAAGAAACCTAAAACCCCTGAAGAAAACCCCTAAGAAAACCTGAAAAAAAAAAACAATTAAAAAATAAATAAATCCGTGGTGTCTGCCTCGTTGGGGCAATGGAAGCTGCGGCTAACGTTCTCCAGCTCCACCATCAGCCCACGCCTCGGTGTTAAGGCTTTTTGGTGTCTTTTTGGGGCGGTTTAGGGTTTAGGGTTAAGGGTTTAGGCTTTTTGAAATTTGTTTAGGGCGGTTTAGGGTTTAGGGTTTTAATGCTTTTTGGTGATTTTTTGGTGGGTTTTGGGTGGTTGGGTTTAGGGTTTAGGGTTTAGTAGGGTTTAGGGTTGAGGAGGCTTAGGATTTGGGGTTCTGGGGAAGAGGGTTTTGGGGTTTTGGGGTTTTGGGGTTTGGGGTTTAGCATGGTTCAGCCACACCCTCGGGACTAGCCAATGCTCGCAGAAAGTACAACGGTACTGGTTGATGGATGCTGATTCACAAAGCCCCGCACCTCAACGTTTGAAATGGGGTTTTGGGTGAAACAGTAGAAGCCGAAAAGTTGGAAAGCTAATAGCCTCAATCCTTAAGAGTAATGTATAGGGAATCCCGGCACTATTTGGCCTTAGTCCGGTTTCCAACTTTATGGGGTTTCCTGTATATTACCGTATAGTTATAACAAGGCGCCAAAAAGGAATAATTTCAATTACATACTAGCCACTGGGGCTTCTATAGTTACATAGATGTTACAGTATACTTACAAAGAAAAACCCGGAGGAATAACATCCATGAGTAGTTATTGGGCCTTCTATATTAAGGGCCCTTGTAAGGGCTTCTTTAAGGGTCCCTGTATGGGTATGCTGTAGGGTGCCTTAGGGTTCCCTTTTAAGGGCTTCTTTAAGGGTCCCTTTACTATAGTACCACCAATCTGTCGGGCGTGTAGCTCGGATGCTAGGGCTCAGGGGTGGGGTTTAGGGGTTTAGGGTTTAGGGGTTGGGAGTTTAGGGTTTAGGGTTTAGGGGTTCAGGGGTTTGGGGTTTAGGGTTTAGGGGTTTGGGGTTTAGGGGTTTAGGGGTTTGGGGTTTAGGGTTTAGGGGTTTAGGGTTTAGGGGTTTAGTGGTTTGGGGTTTAGGGTTTAAGGGGTTTAGGGCTTAGGGTTCAGGGTTTAGGGTTTAGGGCCACCCCCTAAACTCAACCCCCTGACACCCTAAAGCCTCAAAACCCCTCACACCCTAAACCCCCCAAAGACCCTAAATCCACCAACACCCTAAACCCCCGCACACCAATCTGTCCCTGAACCCTAAACCACCAGAACCCCAAAACCCCTTAAACCCTATTGTACATCCCTTTAAGGAACCCTTATGGATCCCACTAAAAGCCCTATGAATCTGGGACGGCGCACGTCATTCTCAGCTCCCCGGCCAGACACAGGAGAGCCCCATCCGGGCACGGACTGCACGACCTGGACCCCGTTACGGACTCTGGGCTTAGCGTTTAGGGCTTAGGGCTTAGGGTTTTAGGGTTTAGGGTTTAGGGCTTAGGGCTTAGGGTTTTAGGGTTTTGGGTGTAAGGCTTAGGGTTTTGGGTTTTGGGTTTAGGGCTTTAGGGTTTAGGTTTTAGGCCTTAGGGCTTTGGATTAAGGCGGTTTGGAGCCTTTTCGGAGACGGAGGCTTCTGCGAAGAAAGTTTCATGCTCCGACTGGCTGCATCCCAGGGAATGCACCGCTGAGCGGGAGCCAGCTCGTTGCACATGGCATGTTGTTGGCTGCATCCCAAGCCGCTGAGGCACTCCCTTATTCGTAAGATCTCTGCTCGTCTGCCCAAGAAGACGATTCGAGATGCTACTGAAACAGGCTATCAGTTGGAGGCTTGTGGGACGGGAGTGCCACCTCTCCCCGAGACAAACTGCATTCCTTGAGGGCCAACGTGCAATCGCAAGACAGTGGCAGCCTCTCTCGAAGACCAATCAGGAACCCTTAGACCCTGATTTCTGGACAGGCCTGTTCGTCGTCGTCTGGACTTGCGTGGACCCTGGCTTGCATGCCTGCAATCTTGACCAACAAGCAAAGGCAAAACTCAAGTTGCCACATTCCGCAGCCAAAAGTCACAAGATCTCTCAAAAAGATTCACATGCAATTTCTCTGCAGCCACATCGCGACAGCTACGTTGGACCCCGCTTCATGCAACCTGCCCTTCCGGCCAATGCAGGCAAGCAGTGCGAAGCAGCCAAATTCCTCCGAGGCGTCGAAGTCCACCACACCCGTGCCCAGAGGGCACAGGAAACCAGCACTTCGGCTGGTGTTCGCAAAGAACGTGCCTGGATGGGAGTGCTTGCAGTAACTCATCTCAACGCGAAGCTTCAGCCGGTAGTCGACTCTCATGCAGCGAAGCCGCACGTGGGGGTCTTCGTGCAGTTCATCACGTCTTCCTTGCAGGACTTGCAGAAAAAAGTCTGCTCACCCGCACCGCAGACATGGACCTGGCAGCGGCTTCCGAACCGAGCGGCAAGCAGAAGATCACGTGCTGAGATGTAGACACCGAAGCTCGACTCCGAGCCCACGTGTGTAGAGCCGAGCTTCAGCGTGCCTGCCGGATCTGCTCACAGTCTTGGAACACTGCCTTTAACTACGGCCCTTGCTGAGAGCTCAAGAGCGTCGAAACATCAATCTAAAACGATGCAGAGAGAGAGAGAGAGAGGGAGAGAGAGAGAGAGAGAGAGAGAGAGACAGAGAGAGAGAGAGAGGGAGAGAGAGAGGGAGAGAGAGGGAGAGAGAGGGAGAGAGAGAGAGAGAGAGAGAGAGAGAGAACAGAGAGAGAGAGAGAGAACAGAGAGAGAGAGAGAGAGAGAATCATCCAACGATGTCTTCGAGAGCAGCACTCAAGGCCCCGGCGAATAATTAATCGGAATGCCAAATCCGCGCTTGCTGCAATGAACAAAGTTGGACGAAGAAAGATGTCAATGTGCGCTGTGCGCACCAACACGCTGCTGTCCCAGCTTGAACGCACAGGCTACCTTTCCCGATCATGATCCACTTCCACCACGAAGACAGCAAACCTCCCATGGACTTACTCGTGTTGCTGGTGCAAAGCCACGTTGCTGACATCCTTCTCAGACGGCACCCATCACAACAAGTGTAAATGACAGGGGCAACCCATCAGACTTTTCTCAGGTAGACAGCGCAGAATGTGTCTCGCGTATGGATGGGAGTTGTTGTTGCAGCACATGCTCTTGGCGAGCGGCGAAAGCCGCTACAAACTTGTCGATAAGCTGCTCTTGCGGACTGCACAAGTGAAAGCTGCGCAAGTCCAGGCTATCCAGGACCATAAACCCCAAAACCCTAAACCTCTAAACCTCGTGTGCATACTCCCAGTAGCTTCCAAAGATCTGCTCGGTCACCCCTTCCAACTCAAAATGCAAACAAACTGCAGGCGAACCTTGACGGGAACCCGGTGCACAACATTCGTGTCCGAAAGCCGGAAGCAAAGTGATGATCTGAGAAACCCTTAACCCTAAACCCTAGTTTGGGGGAATGGATTCATCCCGCCATTCCCTACTAAGAACCAGACAGTCAAAGTCATGTTCTGAGAAACCCTAAACCCTAAACCCTAAAACCCCAAAATCCTAAAACCCCAAAATCCTAAACCCCAAAATACTAAACCCTAAACCCTAAAACCCCAATATCCTACACCCTAAACCCTAAACCGTTCTGGCCTGAGACTTCGAAGTCTTTGGAATTGCTTCTGCCGGCATTCAGCAGCCAGAGCTCCTGGTCCAACCGCCAGAGACACACACACACACAGACACACGCAGGAGTTTAGGGTTTAGGGTTTAGGGTTTTCCAACTGCCAGAGGCACACACACACACACAGACAGACATGGGAGTTTCCGAGAATTAGAGGTACCGTATTTTGGGGTCCTTATAATAAGGATCCTACTATTTAGGGAAATGTATTAGGGTCCCCTATTTTCGGACACTCACACATGCTCCATGAGGTCTCGAAAGGCGTGAGAGGTCAATGCCACGCATTGAGGCTCACTCTCCTCTGCCGCTAGTCACAATCACACTTAGTGCTTGTAGTCAACATAACTGTAGTAGTTGTAATCACAGTAGCAGAAAATATAAAAAAACAATCGCAAAACTACTCACAAACATGCTCATCACATCAGGACCATCATGATCATCATCATGATCATCATCATAAACACCAAGAATACTAAGGAAGCCTTGCAGTTCAGGGCTTCATCTCGACGGTCGCTCTGAGCCATAAGCCATCGTCTCCCACGTTGACACCACCACTCCGTGGCAAACTACGGCCCAGGGTTCTGGGCCTTAAGGGGTTTAGGGCTTCGGGTTTAAGGCATTTAGTTTAGGGTTTAGGCGTTTAGGGTTTAGAGTTTAGGGTTTAGCCATTTAGTTTGGGGTTTAGGGTTCAAGGTTCAAGGCTGGCTGAACTGAAAGGTGACGTCCCCTGTCGAAGCAACGCATGCTAAAGCATCCTAGCTTAGAAGTCGTTTGTGTCCGTGCTCTGCGTACCTGTGCCAGGCAAGCTTGCCAGGTCCTCCATGCGCACCTCCATTGCCGCACCATCGTCAGCGATCGCGGAGAAGGCAGCTCCAACCACTTCAGCATCGCAGGCATCAAATCGGAGATTTGCAAAGTGTCCTGAGGATTGAAGATTCAACGTGGGGGGGGGGCTCACAGGTCAGGTAGAACGTTCCGGGCATCACGTCCCAAAGCCTCTGAGTGGAAAAAAACACCTTGCAGATTGCACATAGAAGTCTGCTTCACAAAAACATGGTAAACCTTAGGGCTCCTTGTGATAAGTCTCTTACAATGTACCCCCAAAAAAACCCTATTCTAATCTTCGAGGCCTATATTTGGGAGTTTTAGGGGTACCTTATTTGGGGTCCTTATATTAAGGATCCTATTACTTAGGGTGCTATATTAGGGTCCCCTATTTTCGGAAACTCCCATTTCGCACTCTAAGACATTCTCAGCACCTTCAGAGCAGCCTTTGTGGCCCAAGCCAACTTAAAGGGTCATGGGACTTAGCAACTGGGGTTATAATTAAGGGCTCTTCAAAGGGATCTATAGGGTTCCTTAAGGGGCTCTACAGGGTTTAGGGTTAGGGTCTACTTAAAGGGTCATGGGACTTAGTAACTAGGGTGATAATTAAGGTAACTCTACTTGTAAATACTTATCACCCCAATTAAGGGTACTTATAACCTTACTTGCTAAGTCCCATGATCCTCCAAGAAGGTTTAGGGTTTAGGGCTTGTGCAAAGCAGCATCTGTGAACCCTTCAATCCTTGAACCATGATACACGGAATGGGTAGAACGAGGATTCAAAGGTGACTCAGATTGATTTGTAGGGCTGTCGCAGGATCTATGGAATTTGATAAGGGCAAAGTCAAAATAATGGGGTGTTGGGGGTATGTCAGAGTAAACCTGTATAGAGACTATTCAGGCGTTACTGTTAATGATTACTCAGACCTGTATATTCGCCAGCAACCGTCACCCAGCGTCCTTGGCCTGCATTGGAGTAAAGTCCACCGCCGTTTCTGGCATTACAGGCCTCCCAGTTGTCGGTTAAAGTTTCACTACCAGAAGTCTCCAGCAAACGTCTACAACCTGGGATGTGGGTCTACCGACTTTCCCCTCATCAACATCAAACCGGTATAGCCTCTGGTAGAATACTTCTTGTGACTGCGAGAACCCTAAATCCTGTTGGCCCTATAAGCCCTATAAAACCCTGTAAAACCTTCTAAAATCCCATAAAAGCCCTGAACAAAAACCTTACAAAACCTTGCAAAGCAGATAAAACCCCAATACAATCCTATAAACCCTATAAAACCTCACAAACCCCATAAAAAAAAAAAAAAAAAAAAAAAAAAAAAAAAAAAAAAAAAAAAAAAAAAAAAAAAAAAAAAAAAAAAAAACATAAAAACCGATAAACCACCATAAAATCCTATAAAACACCATACAAAACGACCCCTAACCAGGCCCTGCCTCGAAAACGAGCGAACCGCGGTGATGCACCGCGCCGCATTGGGCGATCATGAGGCCGCCACCTGTGGGTTAAAAAAGGGAGAAAAGGTTTCAGGCTACTATAATATATTCGAAGATATTATCGATATGTTATCGTCTATCTTATAGTAGGTTCGAAGATATGACATTAAAAAAAGTATGTTACAGGCGTATTGTCAGTATATAGGACAACATCGTACAGTTCGGTGGTGCCATGTCGGTGGCAAGTCCGGCCTCACTAGGCCGTATCATTCTGGAGTGGTTGAACCCAGGGGCTCCAAAACCCCTTAATGAAGGAATATTCCTTTCATCATATTAAAGATTCTAACATAATTTAAGGTATATTCCTTAATTAAGGAATATTCCTTAAATCATATTAATTAGGGATCCTACTATAATTTAAGGTATATTCCTTAATTAAGGGATATTGGAGTCTCTGGGAACCCGTTTCCCGCCTAGCTCTGCCCGACATGTCTTGAAGTGCATGGAGCCGTTGGCGTCGAGGTCGCGGGTCTGCAGACCGCCTCCCTCGCCTCAGCTCCCACGGTTTAGGGTTTAGGGTTTAGGGGTGTCGCTGCAGGGTCGAAGGCGCCAACGCCTGTACACTGATGTGCACAGAGTGCTAACCTTTACTGTAACTTTAGCAACGATGAGCACCTGGCCCCTATTTTCGGAAACTCCCAAATGGAAAGGTTTAGGATTTAGGGGCTTAGGGCTTCAGATTTAGGATTCAGGGGCTTAGGGTTGGGGTTTAGGCTGCTCGGACCAAGGCGCCCCGATCTGCCGAGCAGTTCTCGAAGAATGCCATAGAGCCGGCGTTTTGCTGGTAGCCGGCAACGGAGAGGCCCCCTCCTGGAGCACCGGCAAGCGGGGCACGCAGCACATCGGGATCCTTCCTTCAACCCTCATGTAGGAACCTGATTAAGAAACCTTCGGCTTTTCTTAGGGTTCCTTCTATGAATCCTACGATTCTGGTGGTTCTAGGCCCAGGGTTTCTTACTCAGGTTACTACATTAAACACAGAGGTTCTGAAGAGAAAGCCTACAAGCACAATTCCGGCTTGCAAGGGCCAATGGACCAAAACCACTGCTGCAGAGGCTCCATGCTTCGTCGCCCTGCAGCGGCGGAAGTGCGCAGAGCTGTTGGGGCCCTGCGTGAAGTTGCTGGACACATGCGCGCCGCCGCCGTCATCTGGTCGGGAGATAGCACGGGAAAGATGGGAAATTCAGCCCTCCCGAAAGCCATCTCAACTCATCCGACACGAAATCAGTGCCCCTAATGTGAGACCATCAGCTGCAAAGGGAGACACTTCTGCGTCCTCATTGTCCTCCTCGTCTGCCAAGGCACCGGCTGCCAAGCAGTCCTCGAAGACCGCCGAACTGCTCACGTCCTGCTGGTAATTGGCCGCAATCAGACCACCTCCTCGGCACAAGCAGGGCGCTCTGGTAGGGCGGCCAGATTCGCACGCTCTGTCATGTGCAATCTGCATTTAGGGACGATGCGCAACAGTGCAACAGTGCAACCCCACCAGTTCCCACAGCCTGAGCCCGCAAGCCTGACCCCGGTTCGCATTTACGGCCTGCATGCATATAACGCTCCTGCGCCCTGTTCACGTGCGCGCGGCAGAACGGGCAGGCGTTTTGTGCTGCAAAAACCACTATACAAACACAACATGTTTGTTCACGGCTCCGACTTGCAACGGTCAACGGACCAAAACCACTGCTGCAGAGGCTCCACGCTTCGTCGACCTGCAGCTGCGGAAGTGCACGGAGCTGTTGGGGCCCTGCGTGAAATTGTTCGACAGGAACGCGCCGCCGCCACCGATATCTGGCCGGGAAGTAGCACACGAAGCTAGATCTGAAAGCCCTTCAAAGACGGGCCACACAGATGTTTGAAGCTCCGCCCCGAAAACTGCGGCTCAACTCACATGGCCATGGGGCTGTGGACTGAGACCATGGATTGCTTCGACCGACCCCTACACCCTAAACCCCTAAACCCCCTAAACCCCCTAAACCCCTAAACCCCTAAACCCCTGAACCCCTAAACCCCCAAACCCTAAACCCCTAAGCCCCCAAACCCTAAACCCTAAACCCTAAACCCCAAGATTGCCGAGGTGCCGCTTTCGCCTCCGCCGTCAACGATGCAGTGCTCGAAGACCGCCGAACTTCCCACGCCCTGCTGGTAGCGGAGCGCCCGCAGACAGCCTCCTTATGAGAAACGTTTGGTTTAGGGGTTTAGGGGTTTAGGGGTTTAGGGATTTAGGGGTTTAGGGTCTAGGGGAGGGCTTGCACTTAAGGCTCGCACACGCATCTAGCGATTGGCTTTGTGTGCAGACTCGCGCTGAGCCTACCATGTCTTCAGGAGTACTGCGCTCGACTTTGGCCTCCAAGCTCTGACCCAAACAGCCCGATACCCCTTCATTAAGGAATATAGCTTAAATCATAATATGAAGCCCTATATAACTTATGCCATATTCCTAAAATCAGGGGACTAAGGGCTCTCTGGGGACTGCGGCCCAAGCTCCACGCTCTGTGGCCCTGCCGCTGCGGAAGTGCACGGAGCTGTTGGAGCCCTGTGTGAAGCTTCCCAAGTTTCCATACATGTTGCCCACGAAGACCGCACCACCCTCGCCTGAGAGCAGCGGGGCAGCTTCAGCTCATGAAAAACTCTCCTTGCTGTGCCCTGACCCTTTTTTGTGCTCTTTGGGGTCTCCAGGTTTGTACCTGTAGCCGAAGGGCCTACCTTTTTAGGGTTCCTTATTATGGTTTCTATATATAGTTCCTTCAAAAGGTAGGTCTTTTCGGCTACTCGAAGGGTTTAGGGTTTAGCACCATGTCTCGGGGCCGCCCTGGAAAGCGCTTAAAGAAACAACAGAATTCACACCGACATTCGAAGCTCCGCCCCAGAAGTGCGGCTCCCAACTCGTTTGATGGCCCTGTTTGGAGACGACTGCTCATTCCGAGAATCTATGTTGTAAGCTATCATATGCAAAACTATGGTTTTGTCAACTATGATGAACGAAAGTATAATACAAAATACACCAAGATACAATATGATAAACTACATAGTATACTATAATGGACTGGAATGTGCGATGCTGTATTCTGAAATATATTTGCATCCTCGTCTCTTTTGGTGTCGTTTGCCGAGCAGTTCTCGAAGACCGCCGAACCTCCGTCCTGCTCGTAGTTTTCAACAACGAGACCACCTCCTCGGCAAGAGAACTACCACCAATGCCAGCTCAGACCTACTCAAGGCCCGACTCAAACCGATACCCCGAAATCCGCATGCCACGCTCTACGCAATTGGAACACTTCATGTGTCTAGCATTCTTGCAAGTTTGCAGTCACAGGATTGCATCCCCCTCACAACCCTTTAGAACACCAGCAGAATCTCATATTGTGTGAGGCTGAATGTAGGGGACGTCAGACGCAACAATTCTGCATGACACATCAATCAATCCTGCATGTTGCGGAAGTTCTTCGTCTTTGTACCTACTCCAAATATCTTTGTGCTATCGTCCTGCGGACAGACGCGTTGGAGATGCCAGATATGACATACACGAGACTAGGTATGATGTGCAATGTACTACATAAAGATGCGTTTGACAAATATTCAAAATGTGAAACCCACTGTACAATATCTACATATGTATATACACATATATCCGGTTGCGTGTGCAACATGTCATAGAAAAGAGAATATACGGCAAAACAATGTCTATACTCTATACAGTATGAATAAATAACTACATAAATAATATACATATATATGCATATACATATCGATGTAAATGCTTTCATATATGTATAAACACTGAAACATTACACACTTTTGTAATTTTTCCCGAATGCACAGCAGAAGGGTGCTGTTAAGGGGAAGGGGGTACTCCAAAGGACGCGCGTCCCCACGGCATTCGAATCGGGCAAGCTAAGGGGGGAACTTCACAGGTCGCCGCCGCCGCGCCGCCTGATTTTTCTGTGGCCGCAATTGTGGCCGCATCCGTGCGGAAGATATCGGAATGGGTGCGGATGTCGGTGTTTTGCTGGTGGTTCGGCGCTGCTGGAGGTGTCAGGTATAGGCACCCAGCCTGGGCCCACGCAAGTTGCTGCATCGTCTGCAACGGGCCCCACAATATTCACGAGTCCAGATTCCGTGGTCGCATCCGTGCGGAAGATATCGGAATGGGTGATGTCGGTGTCTTGTGACTAGACCTTTTTTGTCCCAGAAGACATGCAACCAGCGCAGGCGCCTTGGGACGAATCTTGAGGTTGTGCAGCTCCCCTTGTCGGTTCCATCGGTAGTCCACCAAAGTAAACCTCATGTCGAGAACAAACAAGTCAAGCGTCCGCGTCGTCGTGTCGTGTCCTCGTTTGGTGTCCTCGTGGTGTGCAAGGTACCCTCATGCAGCACCTAGGGAGCCCCGGAGCCGTGTCGTTGATGCTGTTCTATACTTTCTACTCTAGACTTTAGCCCATATATAAGCCACTGGCAATTTTCCTTTTCACAGTGTCAAGCCTTTCTCTTTATGAAAGCGATGGCTATTTTAGCGTGTAAAAAATCCTGCGGATATCGGGCGCGCAAATGCATTCGGGTTCGTGGCTCCTATCAGCTTTCATATCATATCATATCATATCATACCATATCATACCATACCATACCATACCATATCATACCATATCATATCATACCATATCATATCATATCATATCCTTCGAAAATATGAATGTCACAGTAGAATACAATATGCTATAATATGACGGATTATATACTACAGATAACACAGCATGATAAACATACTATAACATAGCATAACATGAATATGCTGTACTATACTGTGATAGACTGTACCATACTACCAGAAAAATATATGAACATACAGTGACACAGTGCAGCACAATATGTTATAACATACCACAATATGGTACAAGATGAAGCAATATAATTACACACATCACAAAAGAATACGGAACAGTATAGAATGATGAGAGACAGAGAGACACAGAGAGAGAGAGAGAGAGAAAGAGAGAAAGAGAGAAAGAGAGAAAGAGAGAAAGAGAGAAATAGCAAAAGAGAGAAAGAGAGAAAGAGAGAAAGAGAGAAAGAAAGAGAGAAATAGCAAAAGAGAGAAAGAGAGAAAGAGACGAAAGGAGGAAGAGAGAGAGAGAGAGAGAAAGAGAGAAATAGCAAAAGAGAGAAAGAGAGAAAGAGACGAAAGGAGGAAGAGAGAGAGAGAGAGAGAGACAGACAGACAGAGAGAGCGAGAGAGAGAGCGAGAGAGAGAGCGAGAGAGAGAGCGAGAGAGAGAGCGAGAGAGAGAGCAAGCGAGAGGAGCGGCCCGCGTGGCCCACGCGACAAACAGGAGAGGCGGCTCGCGCAAGTTGCAGAAGTCGATGGCGGGCGTCCCAAATAGCATTGACGGGATCAATGACCGCAGCGCGGAGGGTTCGCATCAACGAGTCTTGGTTATGGGCAAGAACAGCCGTGTTGAAGGCATGACGAAGGGCCTGGGGAGACTCATTCGGTAGATACGTCCAGGACCCGTTTAGGGCCAGCTGCAGCAAAGCTCTGCCGACAGAGGGGGCCTTCCAGTCATACAACCAGCCCATAGCAACAAGTGCAGAGGGACCGACCCGTAGCCAAATCGCGAGATTGAGGAGAAGCTGATCGGCTGTAACGGCGATTGGCGGCTTGCTGTCGCTAAAGTCCTCAATGTTGAGGCTAGGTAACTGCGCCAGCTGATTGGTGACAACATGTAGTGTCTGAAGAAGTAGAGCTGCCGCAAGGCACCCAGGCCGAGCATCGCATCGGATAACTTTCCCAGCTTCCTCTGCCTCTGCACGGGAATCCGCCCGAATCCTCCGCGAGAGAGAGGATGCAATGGAATTTCGCGGCAGAGGTCCTCCATGAGCAAGACAGTACTCGCAATTGTCCGCAAGCCTCGCCGAGCCAAGGCGGGCTGAGCAGTCAACGCGTGCGCAGACTTTGCGCGGTCGATGCACCCGCACAAAATCGGGATTGCCCGATGCGAGGTTGCGTCCGTGTCGGGCACAAGTGTGCAGGCCGGCTGGCAGCCTGGAGCGACTGATCTGTCGATTGCAACCATGGCGGGAACACAAACTAGGCATGGCTGCTCAAGGTAACGTCGGCTTCCGTTCTAATGGCTGCAGCAGAGCAACGCTCGGAGGCCGATAAAATGACAGGAAAATGACAGAAAAGGCAGGGGGAGGGAGAAGAAAGGTGAAGATGGTACAAGATGGATGAAGATGGGTGTGGGTTGGTCTGCCCCCGGCGCACCGGAAACTGCTTGCGGCCAACCCAAGCAGTGGCACCCCCAAGCCTGCTACTGAAGAGCACTTAGACTTAGCCCTACAACACAGCTCGGGGGAGAAGTTTGCGGAAATTCGGGCCTGGCGATGTGTTCGCATCTCAGGCTTTGCAAACTTTGGTCAAATCCGAGTTTGGCGATGTTTCGGCGACCTCGGATGCGAAAACATCGCTAGGCTCAATTTTCCCCCAAATTTATAAAACTGGAACTGCGAAAACATCGCCAGACTCGACTGTCCCCAATACTCATAAAATCTCAGAAACTTCGGCCCCGCACGCCCTATAGATATCAGGATTTTGGGATACATTTCAGGCTTTGCATTGCAAGCTTTTGGGAAATTCGAGCCTGGCGAGGTTTTGGCAACCTCGGATGTGAAAATATCGCCAAGCTCGAACTTCCCCAAAATTCGCATGCTACAGGAGTCTCTCTGCAGCCAGGCTAGGCTGTGGAGAGGCTGCGTTCGCGGGAAGCAAGCTGAATCTGTGTCTGTGGATGCGTTCAAGGAAATACAAAATACGCGTTTACCCTTACATCCTTTTTAAAGACTGTCGAGTTGAGTTTCAGTTCAGGAGAAGTCTTGCAAACAATGTAGAACCCTGCCGTTGCTTGAGCAGAGGTCAGCATAAAGGACGCCGCAAAGTCCACATTCTTCAACTAATGTTACTATACTATATTATACTTTTGATGATGAAGTGAAGGAGATCTTTTATCATTTCTCATGACGGGGACGCGGCTCTATATGCAGAACCCCGCCCGCTGCTTCAGCAAGGATGAATAAAGGACTTCTGACCATTCATTTTCATACAAATGTTCCATTACTATACTATACCTTTGATGACGGAGGATCATGAAGGAGCTCTTTCATCTTTTCATACTGGGACGCGGCTCTGTATGTAGAACCCCGCCCGTTGCTTCAGCACAAATGAACAAAGGAGTTCTCACAGTTCATCTTCATACATGAATACCCTAAACTTTAAACCCTATTACGAGGTAATCATGAAGGGGCGCTTCCTTTTCCATCATGGGGACGTGTCTCTTTATGTACTTGGAGGATCACGGGACTAGTTAAGCAAGGTTATAAGTACCTGAATTGGGGCTAGAAGTAGTTATAAGTAGAGTTACACTAATTATAACCCTAGCTACTAAGTCCCATGATCCTTTAAGTAGAACCCCGCTCGTTGCTTGAGCAGAGCTGAATACCGGACTTCTCACAGTTCATCTTCATACATTCATGTTACTTCAACATATTTAACCCATGATGATGAACTGAGAAGCTCTTCTATCTTTTCTCAAGGCCGTGGATGTGGCTCTGTAGCTTTCTCAATGTCGAAAGACAGCAGATCGTCAGTTTGTGAGCCAGCAGATAAAGTCATAGTCTCCGTTAATACAATTGCCAAAATAACATGGAAGTGCCTGCTTCCTACGTGAGTTCCCCAATGCTTGAGCTACTAACGATGCTAACGTTTCTCACACCGAACGAAGTCACAATTCTACTGAGGATCAATTCTGAACAAGATACCAGTCAACTGTTTGGTTGCTTTCCTCTCTTGCAAACTGTTAAGAAAACACAACAAATGGGTTGAAGATATGAGGTTGTCCTAGTTTCCCCTGAAGCATGAAGATACATGGAAGTGATTTTCCATTTATTATGTGGAGTCAGAGCTTTATCTTGAATCTTGACTTTAATGGAATAGGTAGACAACACCTCTGTTTAGTGTGCTTGCGAGTACGTCAAACATGGCATTGTTGTGTTTGTTCGCACTGACGTAAGGGAAGAGCAGCTATTTCCATCCAACGTGTACAGCTTACGAAGTTTGACAACTTGTAATGATGATCAGTTGCATTTAAAGCATGGTTGAGTTACCCTTTTTCCTGCTGGTGCAGCATAAACAGATACACACGGTCCTGCAGGTTCTTTGCAGGGATAGGAGAACGAAAGTCATTGGCAAAAAATTGGATCTCTTTCGTTTGTAGCCACTGATAAGGGTGAAAGTTTTTTTCGTGCCTGTTTGTGATACGACGATTTCCCACTGCACGAAGGGCTCTCTCCTTTCTTATTGAGAGAACACCGGTGTCTTCTTTTTTAGTGGGAGTGTGAAGCAAGCGGTAGGCCAGCAACACGGAGCGCCAAACAGAATCCGTTTTGGTGTTCAGGTGGTTTTTCATCGCACGAATGATTAAAACAAGTAGTAGGAAGTAACATTGAAGTTCAGAAACAAATGCCGATAGTTTCTATACCCGAGGAACAACAAGCAGAGACTGAAACTATTGGGAGAACAGTCGGCAAGAAGGCTGGTATGGATCATCATGGGGGGTGTGACATGGTGTGACCATATATGCATGTATATACCTATGTAGTATAATCTCAACAATATACCTGTACTATGGAACATGCATTCTAGAACATGGAATGAAACACGGTTTCTCAAACTACTGTAGACCAAATATTCCATTTCATGATATGAAAACTATCGTAAATACAACCGAATTTATAATGGGATATGGCATTTGTTACCATATAGTATAAACACAAATATTAGAGAATAGAAGATAAGTAGTGTTTCATATAGCACACATAACAGCATATGTAACATACATGTGTGTGTGTGTATATATATATATATATATATATCTGTATGTATATATATATATATATGTGCGAGTGCTATGCTTCCGTCACCTGTCCTTACTGGGGGAGCATGGGCTTGGGAGACCGGCAAGGCTGGCACAGATCCTTGCACTGAGAAAATAGACCCTGGCTGCTCAGAGCTTGTGGGTTCATCGTCTCCCGGCATATCCAATGGAAAGTTGACATCCGCAGGTGGTGGATGATACAGTATAGCACAAGTTACAACGATATGACATAATATGGCATCTTATAATATGCTTTGTAAGATACAATAATATACTCTGCTGTAAAATACTTGCTTGTTCTGTGATATGCTGTTTTAACACATTTTGATACAAAATATATACTTCAAACACAACCTCTAACATAGAAACATGAGATAAACTAACAATATCATATCAGAACCTATCTTGTAGTGTGCGTGTGTATATATGTATATATAACACATAGAATCTATGACATAGAAGCACTTGTATGATACACATTGGGATTCGGCTATATTCGGAAATACTGTCATAAAACAAAATGCGCTAAAACAACATAACATAATCAAAACAGTGACAGCTAATCTAATCTAACCTCATCCAACAAGAAATGTTAGCTAATGTCATATAGTATAATGGAACAGAATATCACATATTATACGAAAGTCATACAACATACGACAGCAGAATACAATCTGGCAAAGTACAAAAACGTAACATAGCATGACATAACGTGATATCATCTGACCGATTACTGTAAAAATCCAATGTCTAGAACTGCCGCCCGGTCTCCGCGGCTCGTCGCCCTGCAGCTGCGGAAGTGCACAAAGCTGCTGGGGCGCTGTGTGAAATTTTCCACCACGTGCGCGCCGCCACCCATGTCTGGGTTGGGGTTCGTTTTTTTGGGGGGTTGGGGTTTAAGGTTTAGGGACTGGGTTGGGTTTCTCTTTTGGCTAGGGTTTAGGGTTTAGGGACTGAGTTGGGTTTCTTTTTTGGTTAGGGTTTAGGGTTTAGGGACTTTACAGACCCAGCAAAAGCGAGGGCACAGGACCTTTCAAGCTTCGCCTTTGAACTGCGTCTCTCAACTCACCTCCCATCTCTCTGGGTGAGACACCCAGGTTTCGAAGACCCGTGCACATGTGGGTAGTTGTCAAAAATTAGGTTCCCTTTCTGGGTATCCTAAATAATGGGTGCCGTATGAATAGGGGCCCAAAAAGGGACTATAATTTTGACAACCACCCATGTGCATGCGCACCCTCGTATGTCAAGGCGCTATTCGCGGAGCAGTCCTCGAAGACCGCCGCACTGCCAATGTCTTGCTGGAAGCGCAATGCCTGCAGACAGCCTCCTTGCAGCTTCGTTTTGAAATTTAGGGGGGTTTCCGAAAATACGGGACCCTAAAATAGTACCCGAAATCGTGGGATCCTGATTATTAGGATCCCAGGATAAGTTACCCCTAATTTTCGATACCAAGTATGTATGCCGACACCAAGCGCAACCCCGAAACTCCTCCAAAAGGCATCCTAAAGCCTCTGCATGAGCCGGAGCCACGAGCCCGACACCACGGAAAACAGCGCAACGAACTTCGGCTAAGTTTACAGATTCTTCCAACTGTCGCTCTGAATGTGCAGCGTTCCGCAGGAACATTGCGACCATTCCTGCCAAGGGTTAGGTCGGAGGTCAAAGAAAATACGCTGCTGCTCAGGCTCCGTGCTTCGCCGCCATGCAGCGGCGGAAGTGCACAGAGCTGTTGGGGCCCTGTGTGAAGCTCCCCATAGAGGCTGAACCCCCATACTTGGTGCCCGCATACACGCAGCCGCCATCACCTTAGGGGCAGACTCGGAGCAGGGACGTCTTATGATATGATGGCCCCCTGTCTCTGCACTTGCTCCCACTGCTTCGACAACCCGAGTTGCCTGTGCTGCTGCTACTCACGGCAGCACCCCAAACGTTCCATTGCTTGACATCGCAGTCCTCGAAGACCGCCGAACTTGCCACGTCCTGCTGGTAGGCAAAAACCCGCAGACAGCCTCCTTGGGGAATCATCGACGCACGCAGACAGAAAAACATGGACCCTTTTCAAGGCTTCCGCACGGGGCTGACTGACCGCATGTAGGGCGACAGCATAAGAGCCGCACGCATCAAGGCGTATCAGGTGAAAACCCCAGCTAAAGCTCCATGCGGAATCGCAGCCAGCTCTGCATGTGCAATTTCCACTGAAGAACAACGGCTGCCCGGCGTCATGTTGTCGGAAGGCTGAAACTCTGCTGCCCAAGCTCCGGTGCCGGTCGCCGTGCAGTTGCGGAAGCGCGTGGAGCTCTTGGGGCCCTGTCTGAGGAGGCCGTTCACACACGCGCCGCCGCCAACTCGGTGAGAGAGGCTCCAGCTGGGGCTCGGGGGTGAGGGCTTATAGGGTTTAGGGTTTAGGATTTAGGATTTAGGGTTTAGGGTTTAGGGGTTTAGGGGTTTAGGGTTACAATGAGGGGATCAAAATCTATCTCCTATGATCTCGCAGGCCCTTCTCATCGTTTCTGATGGCCCTGTCTCAGCCAGACTTCCGACTTTACACACTGCTGCAGCTCACAAGCACGCTTCCAAAGGCTTCAGCCACTAAGAACCTTCAGAAACCAAAGACCAAGGGCACACAAACCTTTGCTTCGCCCCCCACCTGTGTCTCCACTTACATCCCCATTGCATGACACCCGGTTCAAATGGTTGATTCGGAAGTATTCGCATCCTGGCCTGCCTAGGCGCCATTCGCGGAGCAGTTCTCGAAAACCGCCGAACTGTCGGATTCCTGCTGGTAGCTGCTGGCATGGAGGCCGCCCCCTGAAAGAGCAGCAACATACTGAAGAATGCCTCTGAGTCACTGAGGTTTCTGGGGCCCTTTACTTAAAGGATCATGGGACTTAGTAACTAGGGTTTTAATGAGGGTAACTCTACTTATAAGTACTTATAACCCCAATTAAGGTACTTATAACCTTACTTAACTAAGTCCCATGATCCTCCAAGTAGTCCTCTGAAGCTGTAAAAATCTCGGCCCGAGCTCCCCGAAATCCGCCAACAAAGCCGCAACTTTCCTTCACCACCAGCTCTTCAAGGCACCGCATGGAAGGAAACAACAAAACAAAACGCCGTACATGCATAGGCTCAAAAATTAAGATAGGTTGTTTCAAGAATTCCTTCATAGCCTCCAAACGCCCTCCGACTGGCGACGGTCAACGGACCACTGCTGCCCAGGCTCCTTCCATTCCCGCACGACAGCTGCGGAAGATGGTGGAGCTGTTGAGGCCCTGCGTGAAATTCTTCACGAGCGCACCACCGCCATCATCTGGCCGGGAGGTAGCATGCAAAATCTGCCTCTGAAAGACCTATAGAGGGCGAGAGGCAGAGAACACCGACATCCGAAGCATGGCCCCCGAACCGCATCTCGCCGTCAGTAACACTACGAGACCCGCCGATGGTTCCCAACCCACGTACGTCGGCTGCCAAAGGCACTGAGAACAGCCGAGCAGTTTCCAAAAATCGCCGAACTGCCGGCTTCCTGCAGGTAGCTGCTGGCATAGAGACCGCCTCCTCAAGGGGACCAACATTGGAACGTGCTTCTGCATGTCGGGTGCTCAATTCGCGCGCAGGGTGCTGACAAGTGGCATTTAAGATCTTTGAAGGCTTCTACCGTAAACACGCATCTTGGCTAGTATTCTTGCAACTGGCCCTGCAAAGAGGTACGACCGGCCGTTGCAGCTGAAAGAGCGACGGCCGTTCCCGCTGAGAGGAGGGGTTGGGCCGGAGGCTGGGACGGTCGATAGGACACCCCTGCCAAGGCTCCGTTCTCTTTCGCACCGCAACTGCGGAAGACGGCAGAGCTGCTGTGGCCCAGGGTGAAATTGTTCAGCAGGTATGCACCGCCGCCGTCGCCTTGGCGGGAAGCAGCAAGGGGATTCGAAGCAGTCCGTTCCGAAATTCAAGTCTTCCTGGTGCTAAGAGCTATGCCGTGGCCTGGCAGTCCCTCCTGTTCCGCTTCAAATGCCACCAGAAAAGGCCGCTTCTGAAAGCCCTTAGAAGGCCAAAGACAGGGAACACCGACATCCGAAGCATGGCCCCCGAACAGCAACTCAAGGCTGATTCATGCCGCCACAAGCAACACCACGAGACCCGCCGATGGTTCCCTGCATGACCCAAGTACATCTTGTGCCAAAGGCACGAAGCACAGTCGAGCAGTTTCCAAAAATCGCCGAACTGCCGGCTTCCTGCAGGTAGCTGCTGGCATAGAGACCGCCTCCTCAAGGGGACCAACATTGGAACGTGCTTCTGCATGTCGGGTGCTCAATTCGCGCGCAGGGTGCTGACAAGTGGCATTTAAGATCTTTGAAGGCTTCTACCGTAAACACGCATCTTGGCTAGTATTCTTGCAACTGGCCCTGCAAAGAGGTACGACCGGCCGTTGCAGCTGAAAGAGCGACGGCCGTTCGCGCTGAGAGGAGGGGTTGGGCCGGAGGCTGGGACGGTCGATAGGACACCCCTGCCAAGGCTCCGTTCTCTTTCGCACCGCAACTGCGGAAGACGGCAGAGCTGCTGTGGCCCAGGGTGAAATTGTTCAGCAGGTATGCACCGCCGCCGTCGCCTTGGCGGGGACAAGTGGCGGAGGCTAGTTAGTTTATTCGAAGAGAAACAAACTTTAGCAAGAAGTTTAATTTCAGGGCTTAAACTATTAAACCAACTAACTCGTCGGGCTGGAGTTTGTTTTTCTGAAAGAAACTAACTAATATGCCTCGGTGGAGGGTTTTTTTTTGGGGGGGTGGGGGGGTGGGGGGGTGGGGGGTGAGAAACTAACTAACTCGCTCGGCCGGTGTTTGTTTCTTCGAGAAGAAACTAACTCTGGGTGGAGGAGTTTGTTTCTCCTACAGAAACAAACTCTGGGGGGAAGGGTTTGTTTTCAGAAGGAAAAACAAACTCCGAAGAGGGGGGGGGTGCATGGCAGATTGAAACTAACTAACTCGCTCGGCCGGGGTTTGTTTCTTCGAGAAAAACTAACTTTACGTGGATGAGTTTGGTTTTCCTACAAAACAAACTCTGGGGGGAGGGGTTTGTTTTCAGAAGGAAACACAAACTCCGAAGGGGGGGGGGGGGCGGGGGAGGTTGTTTTTCCTACAAAACACAAACTCCGGGGGGGGAGGGGGGGGTGAGTTTGTTTCAGCGGGGAGAAACAAACTCCGATGGGAGAAGTTTGTTTGTGTAAGTGACGCTAGGGGGCGGCGCGGAGGTGCAGGGGGGGTTTGATTTTCCTACAAAAAAACAAACTCTGGGGGGAGGGGTTTGTTTTTCCCACAAAAAACAGACTCTGGGGGGAGGGGTTTGTTTTCAGAAGGAAAAACAAACTTGAAACTCCGGTTCGACGAGTTTGTTTCAGCGGGTACAAACAAACTCCGCCCAGGTGAGTTTGTTTCAGCGGTGAGAAACAAACTCCGATGGGAGAAGCTTGTTTGTTTAAGTGACGCTAGAGGGCGGCGCGGTGGTGCATGGGGGTTTGATTTTCCTACAAAAAGCAAACTCTGGGGGGAGGGGTTTGTTTTTCCTAGGAAAAACAAACTCTGAGCGGGAGTGCAGGGGAGTTTGTTTTTCCTACAACAAAGACAAACTCTGGGGGGAGGGGTTTGTTTCTGCTACAAAAAACAAACTCTGGGGGGAGGGGTTTGTTTTGCCTACAAAAAACAAACTCTGGCGGGAGGGTTTTTTTCTATGAAAAACAAACTCCGAAGGGAGGGGGTTGCAGGGGAGCTTGTTTTTCCTATAAAAAACAAACTCTGGGGGGAGGGGTTTGTTTTCAGAAGGAAACACAAACTCCGAAGGGGGGGGGGGGGCGGGGGAGGTTGTTTTTCCTACAAAACACAAACTCCGGGGGGGGAGGGGGGGGGGAGTTTGTTTCAGCGGGGAGAAACAAACTCCGATGGGAGAAGTTTGTTTGTGTAAGTGACGCTAGGGGGCGGCGCGGAGGTGCAGGGGGGGGGTTTGATTTTCCTACAAAAAAACAAACTCTGGGGGGAGGGGTTTGTTTTTCCCACAAAAAACAGACTCTGGGGGGAGGGGTTTGTTTTCAGAAGGAAAAACAAACTTGAAACTCCGGTTCGACGAGTTTGTTTCAGCGAGTACAAACAAACTCCGCCCAGGTGAGTTTGTTTCAGCGGTGAGAAACAAACTCCGATGGGAGAAGCTTGTTTGTTTAAGTGACGCTAGAGGGCGGCGCGGTGGTGCATGGGGGTTTGATTTTCCTACAAAAAGCAAACTCTGGGGGGAGGGGTTTGTTTTTCCTAGGAAAAACAAACTCTGAGCGGGAGTGCAGGGGAGTTTGTTTTTCCTACAAAAAAGACAAACTCTGGGGGGAGGGGTTTGTTTCTGCTACAAAAAACAAACTCTGGGGGGAGGGGTTTGTTTTGCCTACAAAACACAAACTCTGGCGGGAGGGTTTTTTCTATGAAAAACAAACTCCGAAGGGAGGGGGTTGCAGGGGAGCTTGTTTTTCCTACAAAAAACAAACTCTGGGGGGAGGGGTTTGTTTTCAGAAGGAAAAACAGACTCCGAAGGAGGGGGGGGGCGGGTGCAGGGGAGTTTGTTTATTCTACAAAAAAACAAACTCTGGGGGAAGGGGTTTCCTGCAAAAACAAACTCTGGGGGAGGGGTTTGTTTTTCCTGCAAAAAAACTCTGGGTGGAGGGGTGTGTTTGTCTTACAGAAAACAAACTCTGGGGGAGGGATTTGTTTCAGAAGTAAACACAAACTCCGAAGGGGGGGGTGGAGGAGAGCTTGCCTTTCCTACAACTTAGGAAAAACAAACTCCAGACAAACTGCGAAGGGAGATGAACAAACTCGGAAGGTGGAGGTTGTCTTACCTACAAGAAGAAGCGCCGCACGAAATCGTTTCAGGGGGGTTAAAGCGAAGAAAGGACGGTAAATACTGTATAACCAAAAGTTAGTTGAAAACGTTATATCTAAAACGAAGAATTCAGCCATGCGAAATCGCTTCGGGGGTTAAAAGC